TGCAGAGCGTCTTACAAGTTGCCCAGACTTAGAGAAAATAAATCTGGCCCACAGAAGCGACCCTTCCAGACATGGGGGGGGGGGGGGGGGGGGGGGGGTGTTGGTTGTGATTGGGGGGGGGGGGGGGGGGTAGGGGTGAAGACCTCAAATGCAATCATATTTATGCTTATGCTCATACTGGAATAGAAATAAGGGCATAGCAAACATTGCTTTCTGAAGAAGAAGAATATGGACTGACTGCTGACCTGTGAAAAAAGCAGTGTGTTTTAGATAGAGGAAGGGTGCATGTTTCTTCTTTTTCAGTCCCCTCTATGAAGGCAGTTTGCCCAGTGTTGTGGTTTACAGCTAGACTGCAATCTGTGCCTTTTGGCCCTAACAAATCTGATTTCAGCAAACCCCGAACTATGCCTGATGTTAGGGAGCAGCCGGTCTCCCCCCCCCCCCCCCCCACAATAAGCCCTGGAACCCATGCGGGCAGGGTACAGATTTAAACCTACCTAGCATGCTCATACAACACACAAAATAAAATACATCTCCGGGTATCTTTGTAATATGGATGCCATTTTAATCTTTAATAAAAACATCAATACAAGGATCATGTTGAGATGTAAACAGATGACTTATTTTACAAGCAGCTCAAAAAAAAAAATTTTTGAGATATACAGAGATGTTCCTCGTAATTCCATGTCACAACACAAGGTTGTACCAAAACTCCTCCATTTCTGTGCCAGCAAGAAGCACAGAAATGATGCACACATCTTCTTGTATTAAACAGGTGGTTGGCATAAGTCAGCAACCCTTAGTTAAACAGGTGGTTGGCATAAGTCAGCAACCCTTAAACAGGTGGTAGGCATTAGTCAGCAACCCTTAAACAGGTGGTTGGCATAAGTCAGCAACCCTTAAACATGTGGTTGGCATGAGGTTTACACCCAGACTGTGCCTTTCGACCCAACACATCCCATACCAGCAGCCCCTAAATAATCATCTTTGGCAATATGCTTGTCTGTGGCTTAGGCGTTACGAACACGCTTTGTAATGCCGGGGTGACAGGTTCGATACCAGCTGCGGGCCTTGCGCTGGTTTCAACAGTGGTATCGAGAAGCCGACCGTCCAGAAAGCAGCGGCAAACTACTGGATGTAAACTTGCCTAGGAAAACCACAACAGCCAACAAATTATGGGGTTGGTTCTGCAACGTCCTGTAAAGGATACGCAACTAACTTTTTTGGTTAAGGTGGCAGTGGGTTTATTCGCTTTCCCCTGAAAACTGGATCCCAGAACCCACATGGGGAACTAGAGACCCCCCAGCAGAGAGAATGGAATATCCAGGTTCTAAGTTTATGGATTTGGGGCTAAATCAAATATCAGGAAGTCAATGGAAACAGCATCAATGTTCACATTATTCAGGAGTCTGGGGTGCAGCAGATCTCTTTCATAAATGTCAGCGACTCTTGATATTGCGTAGTGTTGTTTACTGTCAAACTATCATTCTCCTAAAATGGTTCCAGCACCCCCTTCCCCCGAGCACACACAATTTTATGACTGAATTACGTTAATCTTAATTTATCTGAGGTAACCATTCTACATCATACTGAACAATACCTCCGACTTGCCCCCATAAAACAAGAATACTGCAACTAGAGTCAACAACAATAAAACAAAAAAATTACTCGTCGTCAACTGCAACAGTACACTTTTAATATAATAATATGAAATATAAACAATAATAAAGCTTCATGATGAAATAATAAAACTAAAATGCTTATATCCAAGGACTCAAACGGATTCAAATTCTCACAAATTAAAAGAAAAAATCTCACAAACAACATTTTTGAAGCAAGTGCCCAAACAATCAAACAGTTGGAATGCATTCTAGTATGCCATCACACAGTTCCTGCTCCAGGAAATCCATCGGGGAAGTCCTTCCCATCTGCTCCATCGCCGCTGCCGAACTTGGTGGCCATCTTGTTGATGACTGACTGCACTTTTGGATTGTTCTGGTACTTGGAGATGTTTGCCGGGTTCATAGCCACATCCTGGAAGGCTTGAGCCACCTCGGGGTCCTGGAACCAACACATTGTAAATACATGAATCAACGAACACAACATCCGAATACACGAATCAACGAACACAACATCCGAATACACGAATCAACGAACACAACACCCATACAAATACATGAATCAATAAACACAACAACATCCGAATACACGAACACAACATCCGAATACAGGAATCAATGAACACAACACCTATCCAAATACATGAATCAACGAACACAACAACATCCGAATACACGAATCAACGGTCTGCATATAATTGAGCCAGACCTGTTAAATGGATGTGCAGGCAAAATTCAGATTCTGGAACAGGACCAGTCCGGAAGTGGACGAACAATCAGAAATTTCTGCTTGAGTTTACACAAATGACACCAGTCACTGACACATCTAACTCATACCTGTCGCTGACACATCTGAGCCCCAGCAGAGAGAGATCATTAGTGCGGGATCATCAGGGGCCGGAGACCTGAGCCCCAGCAGAGAGAGATCATTAGTGCGGGATCGTCAGGGATCAGAGACCTGAGCCCCAGCAGAGAGAGATCATTAGTGTGGGATCGTCAGGTGTCAGAGACCTGAGCCCCAGCAGAGAGAGATCATTAGTGTGGAATCGTCAGGTGTCAGAGACCTGAGCCCCAGCAGAGAGAGATCATTAGTGTGGAATCATCAGGTGTCAGAGACCTGAGCCCCAGCAGAGAGAGATCATTTATGTATTCCGATGATCTGGCGCTACTGAGTTCAGAGGAGGACACTGAAAAAGCACAGACAAGGCTTCAAGAATCCCTCGGAACTCTAGAGAGGTGGTCCAATAGCTGGTACATGCCTGTAAATGGGGCCAAAACCACACACACCATTTTCAGTCTCTCCACCAAACCCCAGAAAGTTTCACTTAGATATGGCAGCCAGGCACTGATACATGATGACTCACCGTCATATTTAGGAGTAACCTTTGACTCAAGACTCACATGGAGAAAACAGATAGAAAAGACACAGAGCAAGGGACTCAAGAGAACACAACTGATGAGGAAGTTAGCTGGAACAGACTGGGGGGCAAACCTCAATGTCCTTAAGAGGACCTATACAGGCTATGTGAGGCCAACACTAGAATATGGAATAGCTGCTTGGGCCACAGCAGCTAAATCAAATTTTCAGAAAGTCTCAAAGATCCAAAACCATGCTCTCCGTATTATGACAGGGGCAATGCGCTCCACGCCCATATCAGATATGGAAACAATTACTGGTCTCCATAATCTGGAAGATAGGAGAGACACAAAAATCCTCACCCAGCTCTCCAAATACCATCACTTTCAAGAACAACCCATGTACACCCGACTGCAGAAACCCCAGAAGGCTAGACTAAAGAGAACTTGCTTTATTAAGAACGCAAATGCCAAGCTCGCTATCCTTAAACTCCCTCCCATAATTTCAAATGTTCCGCTTAAACCTTACAACGACTGCCCCGCTTGGCTTAGGGATAGCCTACCAACAGTCAGAACCACTGTAACAGGGGTCTCCTCCAAATCATCAATGAGCAGCACTGATATGAAATCAACTACAGAAGGAGAGATCAATAGACTTTACCCACACCAGAGTTGGATTCGAGTGTATACAGATGGTTCAGCTAAGAGAGCAGTAAGAGACGGAGGAGGAGGAATATACATAGAATGCCCAAATGGTTTAAAAATCAACCAGGCTGTACCAACAGGTTCATATTCCTCCAATTACAGAGCAGAGGCAGAAGCACTTCTAGCGGCATGTTCTTTCCTGAATGGACAACAGCACAGCAAATATAGCAGAGTGGTCTTTCTGACTGATGCTATGTCAGTTCTACAAGCAATTGTTAACCCAAAAGACACTCAGTTTGCAGACTTGACGCAACAGCTGATTTACTTAGGCTCTTCAGTAGAACAATCTGTACTACAGTGGATTCCAGGTCACTGTGGCTTGGAAGGCAATGAAATAGCGGACAGATTGGCCAGAAGCGGCAGTTACATGGTACAACCAAATAGCGACTTAACCCACCAAGAGATGAAAACACTAATACAATCTAGTATCCAAGAAAGGTGGCTGGATACCCACACCAGATTTTCTCCCCAAGACTCACTTCATCGCCTCTCTAGAGAGGGACAGTCTATTATATTCAGACTAAGGACAGGGCACAACAGATTTCGTCAACATATGTACAAATTTTTCGGTGTAGGAAATACGGAGACGTGTCCCTGCAGCGTGGCACCCGAAAATGCTGAGCATGTGCTCCAACACTGTCAACTGTATGCTGACAACAGAGACGCAATCTGGCCTGTTCCAACCACAATGAAGACAAAACTGTATGGTACACAAGAGGATATGGATTGCACAATAGCTTTCATAAAGGCTACCGGCCTCCTGATGTAAGTTTTCTGACAGAAGGATCGAAGAAGAAGAAGAAGAGATTAGTGTGGAATGGTCAGGTGTCAGAGACCTGATCCCCAGCAGAGAGAGATCATTAGTGTGAGATCATCAGGTGTCAGAGACCTGAGCCCCAGCAGAGAGAGATCATTAGTGTGAGATCATCAGGTGTCAGAGACCTGAGCCCCAGCAGAGAGAGATCATTAGGTGTCAGAGACCTGAGCCACAGCAGAGAGAGATCATTAGTGCATCTGCCAGACACATGAGGAACCGACTGTCTGCATATAATTAAGCCAGACCTGTTGAATGGATGTGCAGGCAAAATTCAAATTCTGGAACAGGACCAGTCCGGAAGTGGACGAACAACCAGAAATTTCTGCTGGAGTTTACACATATGACACCAGTCACTGACACATCTAACTCATACCTGTCGCTGACACATCTCTCACCCATTACTGACATCTAAACAGTGATGCACCAGTCACTGACATATCTAACTCCTTCCTGTCACTGACCAATCTATCATACATCTAACCAGTAAATGTTCAGATAGTCACCTGGAAAGCCTGTAGGAGTTCTGGATCCTGCAGCAGTTGGGCCAGTCCTGGCATTCCTGGCATGCCACCTCCAGAACCTGAAGACAAGGGTACATTACATTAACACAAGTCATAGGTCACCACTAGGCAGAAGGGACAATACAGTTAATTTTATTGGTACTGCACACAATTTACCCAAGTGCTAAATTCTTGGGTATAATAACTTTTTGTCACCCAATTTCCCTTCTCATGAGATTTCCTGGTACATATTTTAGGCTGGATTGACCTAGGAGCCAACATTATTTTTTTCTACAAATCCACAGAGTGCAGATTTGAACCCAAGACCTTTGGGCAGGCAAGCATCTGAGTGTATTACCAGTTGAACCATAAATTTGTTTTGCTGTAAAAGACAAGACAGACACACACACACTAGAGGGGGGGGGGGGGGGTGTAAGCAGGTTCTAAATCTAGGAGAGTCCCAGCTTGCAAGCGGGACATGAATGATACAATTAATGAGGTAGACTTGTCCCAACAGGTGCCATGGACTGTGCTGCAGAGAGGGGGACAAACAGGAAGATAACAGTGATACAGGATCCAATGACTGCAGTAGACTAGCAGCTTGAGTGTCTGAGAAAAAGAACTACATAACAAAAACAGTTCTGAAAAACCATGCTCTAACTGTGGACAACTTAACACCAGCAGGTCTTGCTAGTCACACTCCCCACTGCCTGGGATTCTTTATAAGATACCACATGGAGACAACAGACTGAGTCTTTGAAATGGTCCACCATGTGTGAATGACTTTATCACTACACTATCCATGGGCATGTGGGTGTTGTTGGCAATGAAAGAGCTGCAGAAAGATGGGCTGGCGCTGCCACTGTTGCAGATGGTTGGGGCATGACTCTCACCAACACTGTCAATGCCATTAAAGAGAGAGGATGATTGGAGGGTTTTGGAGGGCAATGTGTCCAAACTGCCGCAAAGGATGTTGAGAACTCTAGGAATAAAGATTAGCACAGAGGTATAAGAAGCGCTCCAGGCATGAGAATGTGTCAACCAGCATTCAACTGGCACTATTAGCCACTGGACGCTGATGTATATGTTGAGTGGGGGGGTTGGGGTGTCTGAGCACCTGTGGAGGTGCCAGGAATGAATTGAGGATAACCCAACTCTATCATCATCTGGGCGGAGGGAGAAATGCCAACATTATCCCCAGCTTTAAATGTTTATACTCGTATTATCTACTGTGTCCTGTAATCTATACCGCCTTAAACTACTTCAACAAGTGCCAATCAAAATATGTGGCGTTATTTCTTCTGAGCACACAAGCAAAATATTTGTTTTTACCAACTACCACCACATTGTACAGCTCTGTACTAACTGTACCACAGCACCACCACACTGTACAGCTCTATTCTAACTGTACCACTCTGTACCACACCACCACACAGTACAGCTCTGTACTAACTGTACCACAACTCCACCACACTGTACAGCACTGTATTAACCTTACCACATCTCCAAAACACTGTACAGCTCTGTACTAATTGTATCAGAGCACCACCACACTGTACAACTCTGTACTAACTGTACCACAGCACCACCACACTGTACAACTCTATACTAACTGTACCACCACACTGTACAGCTCTGTACCACACAGTACAACTCTGTACTAACTGTACAGCTCTGCACTAACTGTACCACACCTCCACCACACTGTACAGCTCTGTACTAACTGTACCACACCTCCACCACACTGTTCAGCTCTGTACTAACTGTAACACAGCACCACCACACTGTAAAACTCTGTACTAACTGTACCACACTGTACAGCTCTGTACTAACTGTACCATACCTCCACCACACTGTACAGCTCTGTACTAACTGTACCACACCTCCACCACACAGTACAGCTCTGTACTAACTGTATCACACCTCCACCACACTGTACAGCTCTGTACTAACTGTACCACATCTCCACCACTGTACAGCTCTGTACCACCACACTGTACAGCTCAGTACTAACTGTACCACACTGCACAGCTCTGTACTAATTGTATCAGAGCACCACCACACAGTGCAGCTCTGTACTAACTGTACAGCTCTGTACTAACTGTACCACACCTCCACCAGACTACAGCTCTGTACTAATTGTATTAGAGCACCACCACACTGTACAACTCTGTACCACACTGTACAGCTCTGTACTAACTGTACCACACCTCCACCACACTGTTCAGCTCTGTACTAACTGTACCACAGCACCACCACACTGTACAACTCTGTACCACAGCACCACTACACTGTACAACTCTGTACTAACTGTACCACACTGTACAGCTCTGTACTAACTGTACCACAGCACCACCACACTGTACAGCTCTGTACCACACCTCCACCAGACTGTACAGCTCTGTACCACACTGTACTAACTATGCCACACCTCCACCAGACTGTACAGCTCTGTACTAATTGTATCAGAGCGCCGCCACACTGTTTTTAACTGCAGAATACTTCTTACATTCACCCAAAGCTTTAAATGCGCTGTCTGTTTACAGCATGACTGCGATATTTGAGCCTTTCGGCGGACACATCTGACTTCTGCAGGGATTTGTTGACCGGGTTAGCCTTCCCAGTTAGTTTCATGGGACACTGCAGTTTCGTTGTGTGGTCATCTTTTCTCAGGCCACAGGTGGTGCCCCACATCAGACCAGTCCAGAGATGCCAAGTAAGGCTGGTCAACCCTCTATACATTCATATGACACTTCCCACATAGATGCCTAGGGCATCCATTGTGGCAGTCAATAGATGGGTCTGTTACGTTTTCAGAGTTACAGAAGAACACTGTACATTATACTGTCTATTACCTGGGAAAGCACCTGGGAAGCCTGCAAATCCACCATCAGTATCACCGTGTGAGCTCTGCTGCTGCAAAAACAAAATAAAACAAAAACAGAATCTTCATTTAATAGAAAAGAGTTGATCAACTTGAAATATGACTAGGATGCTTACACAGTGAATTCTGAGTAAGAAACAAATCAAGTGTCAATGACCTCTCTATCAGTCTAGACTAAAAAGATACGTAGATAACGGTCAGTTTTGTCTGTTGCCATTTTACCTGTATTGCTTCTATTACACTATCAGTCCATGATATTAAGCAATTAGTTAGTTAGTTGGGTTATCATCACTGCACTCCGGACATGTCCATAGGTGCTCAGATCCTCCCCTCAGTATAAACCTGGAGTCCAATGGCTAATAGTACCAGTTCTATGTTGATTAACAAGTTCTATGATGTGTGTCTCATGTTTTACTATGCTGATCTTAACTCCCAAGTCTATCATTCTGGAAAGTGATGTGGATTCACTGCCCTCAAAGTCTCCCACCCTTCAGAGAGTTTTTATTAATGCCCATCCTTCGGAGGGCATTAATAATATTAACATGACCCATAGGTTGATTGTCAGTAGTGACAGCAGATCCAGCCAACTATCAGCTCTTTCATTTCCATCGACAAATGAAGGTGACATTGAGCAACATCCTGGACAAACCAGCAGGGCTGCAGCTTGGCCAGGCCTAGCCACACCTCTGTGTGATCACTCCAGACACAGGTCTCTTGGCTAGCATAGACAGGATCGACATTTCCTTCCAGTAAGAGTGCACCTGTCTGAAAGCTAAGAAATCCTTCCAGTCGGAGTGCATCTGTCTGAGAGCTAAGGAATCCTTCCAGTCGGAGTGCATCTGTCCGAGAGCTAAGGAATCCTTCCAGTCGGAGTGCATCTGTCTGAGAGCTAAGGAATCCTTCCAGTCGGAGTGCATCTGTCTGAGAGCTAAGGAAGCCTTCAAGTCAGAGTGCATCTGTCTGAGAGCTAAGGAATCCTTCCAGTCGGAATGCATCTGTCCGAGAGCTAAGGAATCCTTCCAGTCAGAGTGCATCTGTCTGAGAGCTAAGGAAGCCTTCCAGTTAGAGTGCATCTGTCTGAGAGCTAAGGAATCCTTCTAGTCAGAGTGCATCTGTCTGAGAGCTAAGGAATCCTTCTAGTCAGAGTGCATGTGTTTGAGAGCTAAGGAATCCTTCCAGTCGGAGTGCATCTGTTTGAGAGCTAAGGAATCCTTTCAGTCAGAGTGCATCTGTTTGAGAGCTAAGGAATCCTTCCAGTTGGAGTGCATCTGTTTTGAGAGCTAAGGAATCAACAGTATGCACACAAGGAGCCAGATCTGTAAAATGGATCAGATGCAACCCTCAAGTCCTAAGCAAATCCAAGATACATCATCATCATCATCTTCTCAGCAATCACCCTCTGGCTGTAAACTCCAGCAGAATGTTCTGGTTGTTCACTCACATCTGGACATTTCTCTGGTTCCAGAAAATTGGTTTTACGTGCACACCAGTTTTCAAATATGGCTTATTTGTATGCAGACTCTTGGTCTCTCAACTCTAAGGCAGATGCACTCCAACCTCAAATAAAAAATACTCCTTATAAATTAGTTTTTTACTACAAGCTTGTATGCAGTGAGGGGGGCAGTGGGTTGATTCCCTCCTCCCCCCCCCCCCACAACAAACTCAACAACTTACCTCTTTCATTTTCTCATATTCTTCACGTGCCTTCCTGATGCGTTCTTTTCTTTTCTTCAGCTCCCTTTCCTCACGGATACGTTCATACTTCCTTTTGTGTTCCATGATCTTCTTTGCCTACAAGACAAGCAACACAAGTTACATCAATGTATGGAGCCTACTTGTCAAACACAACAATGCTGAAGGTTTCTACTGCACCCAGTAGTCTGTAGCCATCTTAGGTTGCCTGTGTTTTTGACTAGCTCCCCCCCCCCCCCCCCCCCCCCAACGGTTTTGTACGAAGCGGGCTCCCCAATAACCATGCAACTGTCTTGTAACCTGTCGATACAATTAAGGATGTCAAGAATGTTAAGTGCTTGACATCATGGTACAGGCGAACACAGTGATGTCATATGGAAAATTTAAAGATGGCTACCCTACTTCAACATGTACCAAAGAGGAGCAGCAGTTATTTTTTTTTTATCAGTAAGAAGTCAAACGTACAGTTTCCATTATGATAATGTACGAGTGTCGGTCCAGCAAGTGTATGAGAGGAGAAAACAGTTTGAAAAAGGCCAGATTCTGTAACAGACTTTTCCCACATATTACATTTTTAAAAAATGATACACACTGGCAAGGCAGCAGCAGCATTTAGAAGTCTGAACAAAAGCTGACTTGAAATCATATCATTTTAAAATTACATTACGTTTATTTTTACAATTATTCTAATGTGGCATGAGTGGATACTAAGCACCAGCGCATTAACATTAAGGCAGTCATGTGAATATACTGTCCAACATATGCAGGAGTGTCAAGGAATGGAAGAGCTGATTTGTATTCACTATAAAAGTGATAGCTATAGGAACACTCGTACTGGGCAAAGCAGACATTCTGAACATCATTTATGAACGAATCATGAAAGAAGACACAAAGTTAGATGGAATAACATGTGTAAGATTGTGTAAAAGAGGAATCAGGAGTGGATCCAGAAAGAACAGACAAATCTTTTTCTTTCTTTGCGTTCGGTTTCGTATGCTCAGTTCAGACCATCAGGTGGGTTGCCTCTATGAACTCGCATGTCAGTAGCAGGTCCCGCTTGGTTCCCCATAGCTTGCTCTGCACACTCTGCTCTTGAGGCCAGGTGTCTTTTCAAAGTTGCAGGTAGAGTGGGCAGGTCTGCAGAATGTGCTAAGGTGTTTGGGGTACTGTTTGACAGGCACACTGGGGGGACTACAATCTTTATTTTATACATGTGGTAATTGAGCGTGCAGTGTCCGAACAGACATATGAAAAGCAGAGAATGGTGTGTGTATGATCAGTGTGCTAGGGGGAACAGTTAGCATCTACACCTTCAGACATTTGCTGTGGAAGAAGGAGCACCTATGGGTATGTCCAGAGTGCTATGTTGTTGATTCTTTAATCAGTTATTATATGATTATTTCAATGCTAACTTATGCCAGTGATAACTAGCTTGAGAAGACAATATCTCATGGCTGGTATCAATAACCACAACTGACATGACTAACAAGACAGTCACAGACAGTTCATGCTGTGTCGACTGACATGACTAACAAGACAGTCACAGACAGTTCATGTTGTGTCAACTGACATGACTAACAAGACAGTCACAGACAGTTCATGCTGTGTCGACTGACATGGCTAACAAGACAGTCACAGACAGTTCATTTTTGTGTCGACTGACATGACTAACAAGATAGTCACAGACAGTTCATGTTGTGTCAACTGACATGGCTAACAAGATAGTCAGAGACAGTTCATGTTGTGTCGACTGACATGACTAACAAGATAGTCACAGACAGTTTATGCTGTGTCGACTGACATGGCTAACAAGACAGTCACAGACAGTTCATGTTGTGTCTACTGACATGGCTAACAAGATAGTCACAGACAGTTCATGCTGTGTCGACTGACATGGCTAACAAGACAGTTACAGACAGGCCAGTACTCACATTTGGTGTCACCTCATGGAGCAGGGCATTGGACTCATCATCGTAGTCCAGCTTACAGGCCAAGGTCAGGTCATGGTAGGCCTCCTCCCACATGCCCAACATTCTGACACATTTACAGACACAATAATCAATGACAGATCAAACAAACATTCAGACACATTTACAGACACAAGAATCAATGCCAGGTCAAACAGACATTCAGACACATCTACAGACACAAGAATCAATGCCAGGTCAATCAAACATTTGGACACATTTACAGACACAAGAATCAATGCCAGGTCAAACAGACATTCAGACACATCTACAGACACAAGAATCAATGACAGATCAAACAAACATTCGGACACATTTACAGACACAAGAATCAATGCCAGGTCAATCAAACATTCGGACACATTTACAGAAACAAGAATCAAAGCCAGATCAAACAAACATTCGGACACATTTACAGACAAGAATGAAAGCCAGATCAAATAAACAAAGGAGAATTATCAAGCTGATGACACCAAACCATTGCAGAAACATGACATTCTGTCCCCACTCTTTAACGTTATCAATCCAGGATTTTCTCCACCTCCTTTTTATTTATTGATTTATTTACTTTTTTTCCAGTAAACTTGGGGTGTACTGCTTGAAATGTGTGGAACCAACAGTCTGCACACAAAATAATCTGTAAAATGGAACAAGACCAAAGTACAGTCGTGAACAGGGTGAACTTTTACCTGAAAGATTACCTTTCTGAGGGTGTCATGTTTCTATTAGTGGTGTTTCACCACTGACCATTAAACTACACCTACATAAATAATGACCTCAACTACACCCACAGGCTTGACAACCACACCCACGCGTACAATGACCTTAAGTACACACAAATGTATAATAACCTCAACCACACCTACATAATGACCTCAACACACCTGCATGTATATTAACTCCACCCACATGGCAATGGTTGCCAGAGTTTGAGGTGAGCTAAACACTGACATCACAGCCTTGGGACATCCCCATAAGCACTTTGTCATCAATCTTCAACAGCCACCACAGAATTTCAATTGTACTGGTAGCAGTCTGACTGTATGTCCCTCATGCCTTTCCTCTGAGTGTAGAGTGTCGACCAGATCCCCTGGTAGCAGTCTGACTGTATGTCCCTCGTGCCTTTCCTCTGAGTGTACAGTGTCGACCAGATCCCCTGGTAGCAGTCTGACTGTATGTCCCTCATGACTTTCCTCTGAGTGTACAGTGTCGACTAGATCCCCTGGTAGCAGTCTGACTGTATGTCCCTCGTACCTTTCCTCTGCGAGTAGAGTGTCAACCAGATCCCCTGGTAGCATTCTGACTGTATGTCCCTCGTACCTTTCCTCTGAGTGTAGAGTGTTGACTAGATCCCCTGGTAGCAGTCTGACTGTATGTCCCTCATGCCTTTCCTCTGAGAGTAGAGTGTTGACTAGATCCCCTGGTAGCAGTCTGACTGTATGTCCCTCGTGCCTTTCCTCTGAGTGTAGAGTGTCAACCAGATCCCCTGGTAGCAGTCTGACTGTATGTCCCTCGTACCTTTCCTCTGAGTGTAGAGTGTCAACCAGATCCCCTGGTAGCAGTCTGACTGTATGTCCCTCGTACCTTTCCTCTGAGAGTAGAGTGTCGACCAGATCCCCTGATTGCAGTCTGACTGTATGTCCCTCATGACTTTCCTCTTGAGTGTAGAGTGTCGACTAGATCCCCTGGTAGCAGTCTGACTGTATGTCCCTCGTACCTTTCATCTGAGTGTAGAGTGTCGACCAGATCCCCTGGTAGCAGTCTGACTGTATGTCACTCGTACCTTTCCTCTGAGAGTAGAGTGTCGACCAGATCCCCTGATAGCAGTCTGACTGTATGTCCCTCATGACTTTCCTCTTGAGTTTAGAGTGTCGACTAGATCCCCTGGTAGCAGTCTGACTGTATGTCCCTCGTACCTTTCCTCTGAGTGTAGAGTGTCGACCAGATCCCCTGGTAGCAGTCTGACTGTATGTCCCTCGTGCCTTTCCTCTGAGTGTACAGTGTCAACCAGATCCTGTGGTAGCAGTCTGACTGTATGTCTCTCATGACTTTCCTCTTGAGTGTAGAGTGTCGACTAGATCCCCTGGTAACAGTCTGACTGTATGACCCTCGTACCTTTCCTCTAAGAGTAGTGTGTCAACCAGATCCCATGGTAGCAGTCTGACTGTATGTCCCTCATGACTTTCCTCTTGAGTGTAGAGTGTCGACTAGATCCCCTGGTAGCAGTCTGACTGTATGCCCCTCGTACCTTTTCTCTGAGAGTAGTGTGTCAACCAGACCCCATGGTAGCAGTCTGACTGTATGTCCCTCATGACTTTCCTCTGAGAGTAGAGTGTCGACCAGATCCCCTGGTAGCAGTCTGACTGTATGTCCCTCGTACCTTTCCTCTGAGTGTAGAGTGTCGACCAGATCCCCTGGTAGCATTCTGATTGTATGTCCCTCGTGCCTTTCATTTGAGTATCGACGAGATCCCCAGGTATTAGTATGATTGTATGTCTGCCGTGCCCTTCCTTTGATTGTAGAGTGTCTACCAGATCCTGTGGTACAAGATTTATAGGTACTATTGCTTAAGATAGAGGCTTCTGGTCAAGATGGCGGATAAGCAGGGTTTACTGTTTTAAAGCAGAAAGTTTTTGGTTCAGACAACAGTTAGCTGTTGCATTTTCCCGCTATGGAAAGGATATAGTTCCACTGCCCAGGTACGGAGCTGAGTGCATGGCAAGCCACCGTGAGCTGTTGATTTAATTTGAAATGCTGTTCGACTGTGCCCATGTGGTCATTTGTGAAAATAGGACATGGTCTGTTGCCAGAGAACTTGGAGTGTCTTATGTGATTAACTGTTGTAACTGCTGCCTCCACTGACGATCAACTGCATTTCTTGTGTCGGACTGTTTGTGCCGGAGAACTACCTGAAATACAAGCTACCATAGGGTAGGTTTCTTCCCTAGCTCTTTCTCTAATTATTGAAACCATTTCCAAACATAAATTCTAGTTTTCCCCATTTCAAACAAGATTATTCTCCAGTGCTCATCCATGTGTTGTGGTTACGTCTAGGTTGTGATATCTGTGCCTTTTAGCTTAACATGTTTGATTTCAGCAAATCCCTAGTTAGTAGCATTTTAGGCCATGCTTACTGGGTGTTTTTCCCTTTTCCCACCCTACATACAGGACCCTTGAACCCACTCTGGAAAAGCATGATCTTACACTGCCAGAAGAGAACCTGAACATCGAACAGGTGACAAGTGAAACACTACCTGTAGGCTTTTCCTCGCCACTTGTATCCTTGGGCTGAGTCGCAATTCAGTTCTATTGCCTTTGTGCAGTCGTGAATTGCCTTCTTGGGTTTGTTCAGTCGGACGTACAAGCTACAGCAACAAACAAATCATACCAATTAATGGACTGAAAATGCGGAAAACAAGGGCGACTGCAATCAAGCTAACTCCATAAAATTAATTACAAGAATGGCGATTAAGAAGACAAATTGAAAACAGGAAGAGGAAGAACATACACACCCACAAGAAAAAGGACCTTCTGATTGGAGCCTTTCTCGACAAAAACCACAACAACAAAGGGCAGAGTATCCTGGCCACCAGTCCCAAGATGGATAGAGCGGGTTGACATGAAAAACTATAAAATACAGGCAGAGGAAAAGGTGATGTGGAACGAATACAATGAACGAAGGGGCAAAAATAGTAGTGAAAATAAAGGTAATAATAAAATATGGAAATAATAGTAACAATATTGTCAGTGTTAATAATAGCAGTAAGTAGGAATAAAAATACTAACAGTAAATAAATAACAACAATAAAAGATAGAACAAGATAAAATGAAAACAACAAATAAAATGACAGACAGAACAGTAATTATATGAAGATGGTCAGCTGAACATGCCTGCCAGGCCCAGCACACCTAAACTATGAGCTTCAATTAATGGACATCATCAGCAGGTGGCGACAGTTTTCTGTTGTGACATGCATATGGGATTTTTAATTAAAAATGTACGGTGGGGAAGATGGATGATCTTGTCCCCAGGGTTATCTTATATGCCTGCCAAGAGCATCACTTAAAGCACAACTGACTGTAGCGCTGAAAAAAATTGCACCCATGAACTAAATGGTGCATTTGTGAAACCAAGCAGCGCATGAGGCGGCTTATGCACTTTGAAAAGGAAACCATACTGGAGGGTACAGTTCAAAAGTGGCAAGCAAAAAGTAGACAGCAAATTAAGTGGAAGCATAATATCAAGATATGGTTGAACAGCATTCTGAGAGAGCACAATATAGTGAGAGACAGTGTGTGCTAGATCTCTCACTTCAGCACATTCATGCTTGGACCAGGCAACAGATCCACACAAAGTTCATAAAGGTTTGAGATTTCCACTAACGGCAATCTCGCATGCAACCTCAATCTATTCAGAAATCTGGAAGAGAAAGAGGCAGTGCCTCTAAACAAAGGAGTTATTTTTTCATTCTCCCTGCCGATGGTTTTCAGATGAGTAGGCCCCAGGTTTCTACAAAGGATGAGTAAGATTTATGTTTTCCTGTTCTCCAGACAGCCTGGTATCCACTGAAATGCCAGTGGCCAGACCTGGGAAGAGAGACAGCCACATCCTCCAGATGATCTAAATTCCTTGGTTCTCATCTCTTTGCCTAGCACACTTATGGCACATCCTGGGCAACAGTTGTGGCCCACTGGTCAAACTAAGTGAATGAAAAATGAAATGAAACTGTACATGAGTTGAAAAAGCTAGTAAACTTGAAAAGGTCATTTATCTAGGTGAAGGACACACTGAATGCAAAACAGTCACTATCTGGTGGAAGTTACTCTAGGAAGACAGGTTGAGGCAACAAAGACTAACATAAAATGTGGGTACACAGAGCTCATAAGCCTTATTAAAAAAAGTCACCCTGTTTTATAAAAATGAATGCAAAAACTACTTAACAAACAAACAAAAGCCAACTTAATAAAAGTATTTAAAAAAAAAAAACCCATCTTGCTGTATGGGAGAAAAGTCAGAAAGACACCTTAGTAGTCAAAGCCATAAAATTCTGGCATAAGTGGCAAGGGATGAGAAAATCTAGGCATCATAATGGATGCTATGCCCAAGAGCATGGGGCAGTGATGGAGACATCAAGCATATAGTCCTGTCTGCCACACATAAAGGAAGAGATGCATCATGTGCCCTGCCCAGTGGCATTAGTGCTCTGCTCTCTAAACAGATCTGAGTCCTTGGTAATTTGAATCAATTCCACTGATAATATTTAACCATACTATTGCTTCAGGCCGTCTTCTACCATAGATCTCTCCAGCCATCACAATATTCTCCAATGCCTCTCTTTGCATGACATGACTAAAGAACACTGACTGCCTCTTTCCTATAGCTGTATATAGTTTTCTAATTTCATGAGCCATTTCCAAAGACACATAGGAAATGTTAACTGCTGAAAAAAACATGGACATTTTAAAGTGATAGACACTAGACTGTAAGTTTCTACAGACAAGCTAAACATCACCAAGCCACCTCTTGGTGATAAGAGTCACAACTGCAACAATCTCTAAGTGTTTAGTGTTGAGCTAAAAAGTGATATCATTACACTCAGGACATTCCCATTTGTGATATGTCCTTATCTTCAGCAGCCGTCAAAAAGTTACAATTCCGATAGCGCCAGCAGAAGATTGATTATATGTTCGTTTTGCCTTAACTCTTGAGTGTAGAGTGTGGATCAACCGCATCCCCTGGTCACTCAGAGCTGTACCAATCTTTCCAGACCATCATGATCTGTTGGTGCCTCTGCATTGTTCATGTGCTCCCACAGGGCCTTGGCCTCGTCTAGCTTGTCGTGCAGAGATTCCCCACCCACTGGTGCAAAGATTCCCCAGCCACTGGTGCAGAGATTCCCCAGCCACTGGTGCAGAGATTCCCCAGCCACTGGTGCAGAGATTCCCCAGCCACTGGTGCAGATTCCCCAGCCACTGGTGCAGAGATTCCCCAACCACTGGTGCAGAGATTCCCCAGCCACTGGTGCAGAGATTCCCCAGCCATTGGTGCAGAGATTCCCCAGCCACTGGTGCAGAGATTCCCCAGCCACTGGTGCAGAGATTCCCCAGCCACTGGTGCAGAGATTCCCCAGCCACTGGTGCAGAGATTCCACACCCACTGGTGCAGAGATTCCCCAGCCACTGGTGCAGAGATTCCCCACCCACTGGTGCAGAGATTCCCCACCTACTGGTGCAGAGATTCCCCACCTACTGGTGCAGAGATTCCCCACCCACTGGTGCACACCAGCCAAAAAGATGAGTGGACCCCAACGACAAGACCTGACTTACTGGGCTCTCTTGGCGTACATGAGAGAAGATGAAGGGTTCAGTTTGATGGCTTCTGTGAACAAGTCTATCGCATCTTCCAGTCGGCCTGGGGAAGGAAAAGGTTTGAGTTCCACAACTGTCCAAGTGTCTAGAGACATATTTATAAACTTTATGAGGCAATCATAAGTCACTGTATGTGTGTGTGTGTGTGCACTCATATGTTACTTGTTTGTCTGTGATTGGGGAAAGGGGGTAGAAAGAATAACAGAAAGGGAGATGGAAAGAGAAATGGAAACAGAAAGTAAAGAACTCTTTTTATCACCACTAGGAGTGGCTGTATAGTGCTAGATCTATATTTTATCATGTCCTGCACATGATTGCTTAAACTCACATCCGTATGTTGAGCTACCCACTCATCACACGCTGTATTCACTTGAGATCAACGGAGAGCAGCCCACAGATTCATGACTTTGATGATCTTATAAATGGGAAAAATCTTCTTTAACACAACAGATACCCTGATCATTGCTGCGTCGAGACACTCAGCCCAACAGACACCCTGATCATTGCTGCGTCGAGACAGCACAACAGACACCCTGATCATTGCTGCGTCGAGACACTCAGCACAACAGACACCCTGATCATTTTACGTCGAGACACTCAGCACAACAGACATCCTGATCATTTTACGTCGAGACACTCAGCACAACAGATACCCTGATCATTGCTGCGTCGAGACACTCAGCACAACAGATACCCTGATCATTGCTGCGTCGAGACAGCACAACAGACACCCTGATCATTGCTGCGTCGAGACACTCAGCACAACAGACACCCTGATCATTGCTGCGTCGAGACAGCACAACAGACACCCTGATCATTGCTGCGTCGAGACACTCAGCACAACAGACACCCTGATCATTGCTGCGTCGAGACAGCACAACAGACACCCTGATCATTGCTGCGTCGAGACAGCACAACAGACACCCTGATCATTGTTGCGTCGAGACAGCACAACAGACACTCTGATCATTGTTGCGTCGAGACAATCAGCACAACAGACGCCCTGATCATTGCTGCGTCGAGACAGCACAACAGACACCCTGATCATTGCTGCGTCGAGACAGCACAACAGACACCCTGATCATTGTTGCGTCGAGACAGCACAACAGACGCCCTGATCATTGCTGCGTCGAGACAGCACAACAGACACCCTGATCATTGTTGCGTCGAGACAATCAGCACAACAGACGCCCTGATCATTGCTGCGTCGAGACAGCACAACAGACACCCTGATCATTGCTGCGTCGAGACAGCACAACAGACACCCTGATCATTGTTGCGTCGAGACACTCAGCCCAACAGACACCCTGATCATTGCTGCGTCGAGACAGCACAACAGACACCCTGATCATTGCTGCGTCGAGACACTCAGCACAACAGACACCCTGATCATTGCTGCGTCGAGACAGCACAACAGACACCCTGATCATTGCTGCGTTGAGACAGCACAACAGACACCCTGATCATTGCTGCGTCGAGACAGCACAACAGACACCCTGATCATTGTTGCGTCGAGACAATCAGCACAACAGACACCCTGATCATTGCTGCGTCGAGACAGCACAACAGACACCCTGATCATTGCTGCGTCGAGACACTCAGCACAACAGACACCCTGATCATTGCTGCGTCGAGACACTCAGCACAACAGACACCCTGATCATTGCTGCGTCGAGACAGCACAACAGACACCCTGATCATTGCTGCGTCAAGACACTCAGCACAACAGACACCCTGATCATTGCTGCGTCGAGACACTCAGCACAACAGACACCCTGATCATTGCTGCGTCGAGACAGCACAACAGACACCCTGATCATTGCTGCGTCGAGACACTCAGCACAACAGATACCCTGATCATTGCTGCGTCGAGACACTCAGCACAACAGACACCCTGATCATTGCTGCGTCGAGACACTCAGCACAACAGACACCCTGATCATTACTGCGTCGAGACACTCAGCACAACAGACACCCTGATCATTGTTGCGTCGAGACACTCAGCACAACAGTAAAGGAAATGCATGCCTCAGGCATGACTTCTCCAGCTGGGAACGACACTCATAAGAGTGAGGCTAATGGTAGTGAACACGTGAATCTTGTCTGTCACACATTAGGGCATCTTACAGTCCGACTTCTCAACGTTGCTTATTACACAATAAAATAATCTATTACAGGCTGTTCCGCCATACAGGTGTATCCTGGTCTTCAGAGCTAAGATAGTTCAAATAGGTGGGATTTCTAGATTCAGAGACACACAGAGAGAGACAGACGGACAGAGAATGTATGGGCTAGTGTGTACGTTATCAGGGCTGGATTCAGACTTGACCAGGTCTAAGCTGCAGACAAGAGTAGATATGAGCTAGTGTGTACATTATCAGGGCTGGATTCAGACTTGACCACGTCTAAGCTGCAACAGAGTAGATATGAGTTAGTGTGTACGTTATCAGGGCTGGATTCAGACTTGACCACATCTAAGCTGCAACAGAGTAAATATGAGCTAGTGTGTACGTATGAGGGCTGGATTCAGACTTGACCACGTCTCAGCTGTATAAAGCCCTGAAGCAGTACAATTATAAATGATACCAGCTAATCTCAGAAACGTTTAAAATATATACGCCTTTCAGAAATGTAGATAACTGAAATATATTTTCATTAAATTTTTTATTTAAATAAATAATAATAAATATATTTCAAAATTCACTAAAATCCACATAAATTAACTTCTGCAAAATTTAAAATATTTTAAAAGAACAATAATTTCCTTAACAGATATGAATATAAAGGTGGAGAAAAGAAGAAACAGACGACAAATAAAAAAACACACATACATATACAACAAACCTTCAGAAGCAGCATCCATGGCCGCTGATCGCTTCTCATTTGCCTCATCAATCATCTCATCAGTGACTTCCGCAGCCTCATCAGCATACACCGGCATGTCCTCATCGTTGTCCTCTATGACTCCGTCCAAGGACAACTCCAGATCACTTTCAATCTCCTCCGGCTCCTCGTCTACTTCCTGGTCCTCTTCAGCATGATCACTAGTCGAGGGTTTCTCCTGGTGGGACTTCTTCTCTGGTTCTGCCTTGTGTGTAGGGGGAGGAATCTTGGCCCCTAAGCTAGACAAAAATTAATCACTAGTAAGTATGGAAGTCCTTTATTACAAGGGCAGTGACAAGTATTAGAAGTCTTGGGACGAATCTTTGGCTTTCCATCACTATTGCAGATAGGCAGGGTTTAATATTAGTTGTGGCAAGTTTTTGTTTCTCAGAATAGTTAGCTGTTGCCTTTTCCTCAATATGTAGACTTAAAGTATAAAGTTTTGTCACCCAGCTACTGAGGTGAGCGCACGGTGTGACAATGTGAACTGCAGATTACATTTGGAATGCTTTTCGACTGTGTATTTTATACTAAAACATGACATGCCTTGAACACAGCAGTTTTACTGTTGTAGGGTTACTGTAATATGAACACTAACCTTAAGCCTAACTTCCCCCCATATACTAAATGACCATCTTGGGAATTTCCTATTAAATCTTGCAGCCGATGAAATGCAGTGAAAAAGCTGGAGAAGAAAACAGAAAAAGAAAACATCCACTAAAAGACCACCAGTCTGTCTGAAATTATATGTGAACCAAAAGTGCAGATATCACAGCCTAGCTGTAAGCCAAAATATAATGTGTCAACAGCTCTCTTAAGGGTGGAAGAAGAAAAAGAAGAAATCCCTAGTCAGATCACAAATAGTCCAATGCTGAGGGTGGTTTGTGATGCCTTGTCAGGGACATGCAACTACCTTATTTTTCGTGTATAAGACAACGGCTATATGAGGAGTGTGTTTCAAATATTACTTAATTCTGGGCTACAAAAATGTGGGTGTCTTTTACATGCAGATGTCCTGTACAGAACAAAGGCAGTAACTTTTCCCCCCAAAATGTTGTTAATCAGTCAGCAGATTAGTGGAAAAATTGTGTAGAAGCTGCACAAACTTATGTGCTGTAGAAGCTGCACAAACTTATGTGCAGAAACAACAAATATTACAGGTCCCACTAGAGTCTGCTGGCACCTTTCCATCTGAATGTAACTGGCCACCTTCCACTTTAGTGCAGTAGCCAGACACCACAGACACAAGAGGGGAAACACAAACATTGCACACGGAATCCACGGCTTAGTGTCACATCAAGCACTCAACTCAGTAGTTGGACGATGAAACATTGGGTCCAGAAACAGGGATTTTGCATCAGCAAAACTTTACCAGAAACAACTTTTCAGAGTGTCAGCGGTTAATAAGCTTCTTTCACTGAAAGTAAGAGTCCCTGCAGTATGTCAAGTATATAGGTGAAAAACTATCAACTGTCGCTATTATTTCTCCAGGTACCTTCAGATCTGCCTCTCTGGGTACACAACACAAACACAAGACTTCCGTTAACATTACCTCTCTAGAAACACAACATAAACACAAGACTTTTATTAACATTACCTCTCTACATTCACAACATAAAGACAAGACTTTCGTTAACATTACCTCGCTACATACACAACATAAACAAGACTTTTGTTAACTTTACCTATCTAGATAAACAACAAAAACAAAAGACTTGCATTAACATTACCTGTCTTGGTACACAACATAGACACAAGACTTTCGTTAACATTACCTCTCTAGGTACACAACATAAACAAGACTTTTGTTAACATTACCCCTGGGTACCAAACATAAACACAAGACTTTCGTTAATATTACCTCTCTAGGTACATAAAACAAACCTTCCATTAACATTACCTTTCTAAGGGCACAGTACAATAATTCTGCTGACATTATCTCTCTAGGTGCACAAAAACCTTCCAATAACATTACCTCCTAGGTAACACAAACCTTACGTTAACACTGCCTATCTAGGTACACAACACAAAACAAAAACCTTCCATTAACATTACCTGTCTAGGTACATAAAACAAACCTTCCATTAACATTACCTCTCTAGGTACACAAAACAAACCTTCCGTTAACATTACCTGTCTAGGTACATAAAACAAACCTTCCATTAACATTACCTCTCTAGGTACACAAAACAAACCTTCCGTTAACATTACCTGCCTAGGTACATAAAACAAACCTTCCATTTATATTACCTTTCTAGGTAGTGCCTGTAAAAACTCAGCTCTGGAAGATGCAGAACATCTGGGCTGGTCTGGCATAGGAGCACAAACTCTTTGAGCATCTTCAGTTGGTCTGCTTGTATGTTAGTTCCCATCTTGCTTCTCAGAAAGACGGCTCAACTGTCACTTAAATTAGCAAAATACAAGAACAAGGTAAGACTAGGACAACATAAGACAAGCAATATGAGATTCTGATGTCATAAGAAATCTCGGCTATTCTCAGAATAATGGTCCCAAATTATCGAGGCCGAAAATATACCCTCAGGACCTCAGTCACATTTAAATTGCGGGCTTCTGGCAACTTAAATTGCGGACTTCCGGCGACTATCGCCACCGCCGAGAGTATCTCCCACGCCGCTACACACGACCTGGAGCGGGGCTAACCTAGATGGCTGGGACTCACCAGTAGCAGCTACTGCATCTCCTGCAGCTTCCTTCATTTTATTTGCTCATGAGTCCCAGAGGATAGCCAAAATTTCTTCTGCTATTCGACAGTGAATCTTGCAATGTGAATAGGTAAATTATAAAGAATGTTGGGCTATCTTTTGAATAACAGTCCCAAATTATCGAGGCCTAAAATATACCCTAACAGGGCCTCAGTCACATGTCAATTGTGGACTTCCGGCGACGTAAATTGCACACTTCCAACGACTACCGCCCCCGCCAAGAATATCTCCCACAATGCTACGCGCAGCGTGGATTGGGGCTTAACTAGATGAATGGGACTCACGAGTAGCAGCTACCGCATCTCCTGCAGCTTCCTTAATTTTATTTGCGTCCCAGCCATCTAGTTAAGCCCCAAACCACAAAGCGCGTAGCGTTGTGGGAGATACTCTCGGCGGTGGCGGTAGTCGCCGGAAGTCCGCAATTTACATGTGACTGAGGCCCTGCTAGGGTATATTTTCGGCCTCCATAATTTGGAACCGTTATTCGGAGGATAGCGGAATGTTGAATTACAAGTCGACATCACAGTACCCATGACAATTCAATAAGTGCTCCATCCCCATCGTCAACAGCAAGTGCACAGATCCAAGAAAAATAATTCTAAACGATTTCACATCATGGTACGTATTTATAATATCAGCAGAAGTGACTGAGAACTCCAAGGACCAAAATTTGCGGAAAGACGAGGGGGGGGGGGCGGCACGCCACAGGATGATGATGAATAACTCCATCAGATCCCTTTTCCATAACCTCTTGAGTTTAACGTTCTCACTCTTTCTTCGGACAATTTGTGTCCGATCCTTGTGAAGTAGGTTTCCAGACACGAAATTTTCAAGACGCAAAAAACATCGCCTGGTAACTGATAATTGAATTGATAACAATGCCGGCGCGGCATGGACACTTGGCTGAATTTTATACAAACAAAAATATTCGACTTCGAAATTAGAAAATATGAAAAGAACAGATCACCACTACTTAACAAATCATTAACCGAAGGTATACAATAAGAGAAAAAGGGGGGAAACACACAGAAAATGTCAAATAGCGCGAGGTTGCGATAAAAAAAAAACAAGTCAACAATGAAAACTTGGAAAGCAAATGGCCCCCCACTCCAGACTTCAGTCCACATCGCTTGTTTGGAAAATAATGCAATGTACAGTTATTAATAAGAGTTTATTACATGCGAAGACTATAGAGAATGACTTCAATATATAAAAAAACTGAACTAGCCTGGTTTGGAGTAATGAAACAGGAGAGAAAAGACACATACCTGTATTTGTGTAGAGGATCTGGTTCAAGCGCAGATCTGCAAGTTGATGTCTGCTTGCTGGACGGCTGACCTTGACACGGCTCCCTGCTGCCGCTTATAGCCTGCACAAATTACAGCTACTTCTCGTCGGTGCTACGGAGTTCGTGCACTGCGCTGAGAATCTTCGGACTCAGGCTGAGTTAGAAGTAGAACGCAGCACTCAGGGGTTACTACTCTTGTGCTACGGTGTTGATTCGTTGCATAAACCATAAGGCTACTTTTGGAAACTTTGCACCAGCATAACTGTTGGGTGTTTCATTCTATCTCTGCCCGGTCAGGGCGTCAGGCAGACTCGCCGCCACCAAGTTAACATTTAGCGTTTAAAAAAAGGGGGTGAAAGGAGGGTTACACCCCCCCCCCCCCAAGGCTTAGAAAAGATGCAACTCCCCCTCCCCCTATAGGTAAGATAACATTGAGGGACCCATAAACCAGGGTCTCTAACAAATGTATCAAATAATTGTGGAAGAAAAGGAAAGAAAGGGGAGGAGAGACGCCGTCCCCCCCCCCCCCCCCCCCCCCGTATCATGGCCCTCTCTCATCTGCCTGGTCTTAGGGTTTAGTTTTTCTTGGACGTCCCTCGTCTCCTTATCGATACTTTCCTCATTCATCGTCTGTTGTGGTGACGACAGACACTGGGCAATCAGTGTTTAGATAATCTCCCGAACATTCGGTGGATTTATTGCGCACTTAGTATAACAGTTGACTATCCTTGTAGTTGTTTCGTTTGCACGGTTCAGCCCACAGCGTTATAATTGGGATCTGTAGTGTTCATCGAGTTCTCATAGTTTGTGTATGTTATTTTATGTGTCGTGTAGTTATTTATTAGAAACATATGAAATTTGTATCTTTAGGAGAGAGAGAGAGAGAGAGAGAGAGAGAGAGAGAGAGAGAGAGAGAGAGAGAGAGAGAGAGAGAGAGATCATTGACAAGAAAGGTCAACTATTATATACCAAATGCATAATTAATCCTATACTGATACCAGTGGTTGTCTAGACATTTTTCTTATATGTGTGGACATTTTTCTTATTTATGTAGACATTTTTTTTATTTATGTAGACATTTTTTCTTATTTATGTAGACATTTTTTTTATTTATGTAGACATTTTTTTTATTTATGTAGACATTTTTCTTATTTATGTAGACTTTTTTTATTTATGTAGACATTTTTCTAATTTGTCTAGACATTTTTCTTATTTCTTCATCTTTCTGGAAGTCATTCGATTTAAGGTTCATCGTTTCCTTAGGTATTTGTTTTCAAATACATTGAAATTTCGTTCCATGTCTGTATTGGTTCTCCACATTTCAGTATTTTAGTAGTAGTTATTAGTGAGGGTTGTCTTCAGAGCACTCCAGACAGGCCCATCGGTGCTCCGATCTCATCCTCAAACTCTCCACAAGCCCACAACGACTTATGACGCCTGTTCTGTGTTAATTAATTAAACGGATGGTCTCCTTGATGGAGCGTTCATTTCTTGCAGACAGATTTCATCCCGCCCATCAGTCTAGACAGGGATACGGAGTCATGCCCTTTGCTGTATTCGTCTTCGCTGTCAGTGCTGCGCGTGGCATTGATAACATCGCCTCTGTCCAGAACAGGACCAGCCAAAGCAACCGCCGACTGACTGACTGACTTTCTACCCCACCATGACATCACACAAGCGATAAACACCCGATGACACAATGTGCCATTTTGTGGATGAGGATCGCAGTGGAAAGGTCCCAGAAATCGCGTTCAGCCTGTAGGCCATATTTATGGCCAGGCCATATTGCGGCCCATGTCAAAAGCCAGAGTAGGGCTTCAAATGACAAAAAATTTCATCCTAAAAAGGACGAGAAGTACACTTTAATAAAGCAACCGCACTGTCTGCAAGATTATATACATTCTCACTACCTCGACAGGGAGGTCACAGTGGTCAAGCCGTTTGCCTTGCGCTCTGAGGTGTGTGCTTTGTGCGATGCTCTCGCCAGGCGGTTACCAGCGCAAAAGGGCTGAGCCATATGGAATAAAAACCGGTGCAATGAAGTCGATCCTCTCGAATTTTTAACCTTTTAACTTTATTGCCTCGAAAAGAGCCATGACCATGATTGTAGTAGTAGTAGTAGTAGTAGTAGTAGTAGTAGTAGTAGTAGTAGTAGTAGTAGTAATAGTAGTAGTAGTAGTAGTAGTAGTAGTAGTAGTAGTAGTAGTAGTAATAGTAATAGTAGTAGTAGTAGTAGTAGTAGTAGTAGTAGTAGTAGTAGTAGTAGTAATAGTAGTAGTAGTAGTAGTAGTAGTAGTAGTAGTAGTAATAGTAGTAGTAGTAATAGTAGTAGTAGTAGTAGTAGTAGTAGTAGTAGTAGTAGTAGTAGTAGTAGTAGTAGTATAAATAACAATATAAGTTTTACCATCCTGGTTATAATTTGGATATGTCGAGGTTTCCCCATATTTCAATAATGCATTTTTGTGTTAAAAATTATGTTTGTTACGCAATATCGCATAGCTTATGTATTAATTGTAAAGGATAGGCAACTAACTTTTGTAAAAGCTGGTGTTCCTTGCTTGGCGCATCATAGTGTCTTCGTGTTTCCTTGACAATGATAGTTATCAACTGTTATGTATACCCAGCCTTACTGTATGGAGCAGACGATCTGGATAATGAACCTTGACATACATCCATAATGCCACCTGTACCTTGGACTCATTCTGGCAACGGGTCAATGTCAGCGTGGGCATACACAGCGGACAGGACGAAGGAAAACAATATATATTTTGCCTCTGTTGTTAATGTCCATGTTGAATTAGAACTCGACAGCACAGCACATGGGACACTTCCATAAGCGCTCCGTCCCCATCTTCAGCAGCAAGCAAAGAGTTCCACTTCCGATGGCATCAGTAACTGTCTGATTGTATGTCATTCTCGCCTTTCCTTTCAGTGTTGAGTATCGGCCAGATCCCTTGGTAACAGCACCTTACAGCACCAATCTCCTCAGACCGCAAAGATCAATTTATGCGTGTGCACTGTTCACTCGATCCCAAAGGGCCCTCGCAACATCTAATTTACCACCAAGTGGTGCAAAACCTGCCAGTCTATCTGCCTGCTCGTTTACCAAAACAAAGGCATGATCTGGAGAAAATATCCAAAGGAGGCTAAGTACCCGAGACCTCTGATTCTCAAGCCAGCCGAAGGCAGCCGTGACTGCCTCCACCTCCATTCTCAAACTAGGCGTTGTTATATCATATGCCATCCTCATATATCATATACCATCCTCATATATCATATGCCATCCTCATATATCATATGCCATCCTCATATATCATATACCATCCTCATATATCATATGCCATCCTCATATATCATATGC